AATATGAGGAAGGAAGCACCTTCGCAGAAACGTTTGTATAAGGCGTTCCCAGGTCTGTCTCCAGTCCTTAAAGACCGCGACTTAAAGTACAAACTCCACTGGCAGCTTGACAGTCGCAAGTATTGGAATAGTATGTATGACCGAAACCGTATCATATACTTCATTGGAAAACAGAACCATTGTTTATCCAACCCGAAATGTAAAATCAAGGAAATGTTGAAAGTACCCGTACAAAAAAGTTTGCGTAAAAAAAAAAAAAAAATCTCAGTTTATTTTCATACCATGCAAGCGGAGCGCCGATCAGTGGTTTTAATCTGGTGACTTGGTGAAAAAGTCGGCTAAGAATTTGGCGGCCGTGCACGAGAGGGCCCGTGATGTATCGTGCTCTACACGCGCAGTGCTCCAGCGAGGTTGCCGCACGTGCGGAAAAACTAAAGTTTCCTGGATGCATTGCGGCAGTGGTGGCGTAGTCAAGCTGGCTGGTGAGATCGGTCTAATCATTTTCAATGTTCATAGAACCCGGATCAGGAATCTGGTTTTGTTTTATTTTGCTCCAGTTTTGCAAGAGAACAAACACACACACACACAAAAAGATGAAAACTTGCGTCTGCTTTTCTTTTCGACTCGACCGGACTCGGCCAGCAACATGTGAAATAAAGTGGTTGTGACGTAAATTATGCCTTTCTAACGGAAACGAAAGTTCTTCCAGCCGAGCGAGGGAGCCGCGTTGGACACAAGCACTCGTCAACGATCAATCCGTCCACGAATATTTCGATTCAGGTTCGTGGCCAATGAGTGCCTTGACGGCACTTATCATCGCTTGTGAATGACAAGTGACATGGTGTGCTTAATCGAATTCTTCGCCGACTTTTTCGCTAAGTATCCGGATTAGAGACCCGGTTTCCCATGGCGTGAGCCCTAGTTACACTAGTTAAAAGCCCTATTTACACCAGTGCTCTTAACTGTCATCGAGCCAACGACATTTGACTCAATCGCGATCGGCCGGAGTTACACGGCGGCGCCAACTGTCATTGAGCCGCTAACAATCATTGAGTTGGAATATAGCCGGCCTACCTCAGTGAACTAATGAGGGTTCGCCCAATAGAGCTAAAGATGGCGGCGTCCACCGCATCGCCACCCATGGCCCAGCGTCAGCGAAGCACTTACTATTACGGAAGATTGGGGGAGGTATCTAGAAAGTATCGTAGCATCAAATATTGTCGGAAGAGGTATGATTCGGGGCCGGAGCTGCCGCTAGAACAATCACGGCACGTCAGGGAAACCAAAGCTCGGTGAGGGCGCCCATTGTGATGCCGGTGCCGATAAGACTTTCGCTGTGTCTCTCTTGCGTGAATTCGTGTGAAACGGATCGGTGGCCGAGTGGTCTAGCGCGCACCAGGGGCCCTAAGTTGGACGCTTGGCGGAGACGACGGCGAGAAATTTGGCGGCCGCGATTGGCCAACGCCACACTTGACCTTGGCCAATTATAACCGCCGAATGTTTCGCCGACTTTTCCGCCAAGTGTCCAGATTAGGGCCCCAGCTTGGAGCACGTGGAGCGAAAGCTCGCGCTGCAGAACCCAGGGATCTTGGGTTCTGCAGGATCGCGCATCTCAACTGGGGATTTTAGGCCTATGTACCGTGTAACACCGGCCAACTTAGTTGAGCTCAATGACAGATGGGAGATGCCAAGGATTGTTGGCTTAATGACAGTTGAGAGCGCTAGTGTAACTAGGGTAATAGACACTCCACATATGTGAACTGCACACTAACACAGAGTCGCTCAACACCACGTCATTATAGACATTTTTCGGGAATTACAAAGCGGTAGATGTAAACTTCTTTTTTTTTTACAGCGAAGACATTTTATTTATCTTTTATAGTGCAGAATCAACGCGACACGAATTAAAAATAGCACGCACACGCGCACACTGAAAACAAAGTAAAATGGGCGTTCACACAAAATGGTCATGCTGATCATGTGCCTTTGCGAGATGGAGGAATACGAACGAATGGCACGACAAAAATCTTTGTGGCACGAAGGAAAAAAAATCCTGTGAAATCTTACGCTACAGGCTTTCTCCGTGTTTCGACATGTTTGCTTGATGACGTGTATATACAAAACGAGACATCGATACTTTCCGATACAATTATTTAAATACAGCTGCTGCTTTTTTGTTGCTGGCTTTCTTTTTGACGGAGTAATGTCATAGGTTTCACACACTATCTGCGATAAACACTCATGAAAAGACGAGTCACCGTTTTACGCACCATCTCACTTGGTTGTTATTTGTACGTGCCCAAAAATAAATACATACATATACTATATGGCTGTAGGCCAGAGCTCTTTTTCAATAAAGATATATATTTATATATATATTATATTTGTGGCAATTTACAACAGGCAAAGTAGACCGCCAAGCCCCGAAAAAGAGGTAACACACCGGAGGCTGCGGCCAACTAAGCCGGGCTGCTACCCAAACAGTCAAGCCGACGACTCAAGCTCCTCGGGTGGGACCTTGGTCGCTTGTAGTGAGTGCACTTGCGTGGATCTCTCGGCGAAATTTGTTTGTTCCAGCTGCACTTTACGCGGCCAACTTTAATAACCGGTGCTCAAAGAGACGGCATGCCTGAACACGCCTGTCAGAAAGCAATGGAGGACGAGGACGATACGATGGACAGCGAGGGTGAACGCCATCGTTAGAACTCGGTTCGGGCGACTGCAATGCTTCGTTCCACCATACGAAGAACCGCGGCAAGCGCCACGAGCCATCGAAGACAATCGAATGTCCTGTTCGTGTCACATGACCTTTCGGGAGAGTCGCAGCGATACCCGAGGTATGTAATCACGCGATGCGTTTACAGCGCTGGATTGGTTTGAACGGTCCGTAGCGCTCGCTGTAATCCGTCGTAAGGCAAACCAAAGTATGGTCGCAGATTTTTTTTATGTGCACCGTCAAGATAAGCGCACATTTCTGCGTAGTAGATTTGCCTTAAACCACCATTGGGAATATAAACAAAACTAACGTGGCGTTATTTTTTTTAATATATATATTCTTTGCACCGACGGTCAATGGTGCTTGGGATGCCATAATTCTCCAGTGGCAGTTCTGATTTTATACTAAAAAAAAAAAGTAATTCGAACGACCACAATTTGTACTCAAGACGCAATAGAACGCCGATCGTTATTGCAATGGACGCACTCTATCCCGCGAAAAAGTATGAAATTTGGTTGGCGGTTACGTCACTAATGAAAGGTTCCTTCAACTCGCCGCTTCCTAGTTATCAAGTATAGCTGCACGTGCTACCGGGCTCTACTAGCACCATCAGGCGCGCAAATGCTAAAAAAAAAAACACACAAAAAAAACGCAGTGTTTGTTTTTTGGTAAGATTCTAAGGTCAGTTTTTCTAGAGCACAATCTCGGGAGGATGAGCTTTGCTCTTCAAACGTGCCAGCATTGAGTCACTCAAAACAAACTACATTGAATGCGGTTACGCCTTCGTGTATAACTCCCGCGATCACTTGAAGTGAGGGTAACAAGGACGGCGTGCGTGTTCACCACAGTACACGTTTGCTAAGCAAAGAAACGTCACTTCTGCAGACGTCTACATAGACTATGACGACACACTACTCTATGTTCTCGAAGCTACGTTCACTTGCATCTCATTTTGTTCGATCAAGCCTCACCGGAAGTACTTTGAAAATTTAATACGTATGTATATATTTTTATTTAAATATTTAAGATATCTGGCTATGGATATGTATGAAGTCTTGACACTGACACACAGACAAAACCCTGAATCTTTTTTACTTGTTTTTTTTTTTCTTTTACGACTTAATCGGCCATGTTTGGTAATATCTAAACGACGCCTTTTTTTCTCTTGGCTTAGGGAAGCTACTTTTTACAAAGACATCGAGATATTCGCTTCTCAAACCGTCGTTCGTCAACGTTGGTAGGAAAAAAAATAGACTCGACAAGTGTTGGCAACGTGAGTGCACAACGTGACTGCTTGGGTTGTTGTCGCTCGAGTTTGCACACTCGTCCGACGCCCCGACGCTGCACAAAGAGGCGATCACAGTTCGATGGGATCAGACAGCGATCACGCGACAACGTTGGCACAGTTTTTTAGCGATGACACCGACAGAGCAGGAAGAAGGGAAACACGGAGACGATGTCCAAGGAGCAGGTTAAGCTAGAATGACAGATAAGAGCTGTTGGTCCCCTGAGCGATAGAGACAGTGATCCTTCGCGATGCTTATCCGAACTAGCAGGACAAAACTATAGACGACCGGCGGGCCGTTATCCGCCAAAGATCACCCGCAAACCGGCAAAAAAAAAAAAAAAAAAAAAAGGTAATAAAACGATGCCCGGGGAGCACTAAAATGGATGCTTGACATCGTTACAATGTTTTTTTCCCCTTTCCAACAGAGCTCGACGTGTGTCTATTCTCGTCGTCTTTCACGCGAGAATCGTCGGTTATTCGCATTTCACTCGTGCATTCTCGTCGTGGGTTCTTCAAGACTCAACTTTTTTTCCCCGTCGGCTTTTCGTCTCTCTCATTCGCACACTTGACTCCAGCTGGCTTGAACTGTGTCTTAACCTTTCACTCGTTGCTCAAGCGTGACCGGCGTCGAAGACACATCCCGGAGGGACGGGGTAACGCAGAGAGTAGGCACCTGTCCTACTCACACACACACACACACACAACGATGTGGTTTTCAAAGACCCGAGTCCTTCGGACGATCCGGCCGCTTGTGCTCCCGAATTTGTGGCGATAATCGTTTACGTTTTTACACACACACGCACACACGCGCACATTCACGCACATGACGGTGCGGAGGAAGAAGCGGTGCACAATGCACGGTCCTGTAGCAAGCGCTTTGAGAAGTGAAATGGAGGACATGTTTTGGGTGCGCCGTTTCCTCGGGATGTGGGTTTTCAGGAGAGTTCTTTTTTTCCGACCGGTAGGAATGTTGCGACATTTCAGCGTGCCTCGTCCTTACACATAGGTCCAGTGGCTCAGCTGAAAATGAGAGCAAAAAGGAGTGAGAGAACCTTCTTCACGAGGTGGGGCTATTCTCCCTTCGTGCGTCTATTCAGGCACCGTCCTCTACGTATCACGAGATGCGTTGTCCTGAGTACGCAAATCAGACGCAAATAATCTAGATACGATACTCTTATTCGAAAAAAACAACGTCACATGTAAAAATGGAGTGCTGTATACGAAAACAAAAATGTCACACCTAAATATGAAGTGTTGTATACGCCTGGGGAACACATGCGTAGTCCATCCATGTTTTGAAAGAGTCTCCGAAACATAGTTTTTGGCTGAGCGCAAACGTTTATCGATAATGGCGGCGTATATTTCGTTTTCCTTCAGTGCCACAAGTTTAACAAGTTGGAAGCACCAACTTGGCAAAATATATGTGAGAACAGCATACCTATCATTCGTATCCTGTTCGTGTTCGCAGTTCTATAGACCACTGAGGGCGAATCGCCTATTCAGTAGCAAAACTACGCAGTCTTTGGTGAAATTAACCTCGCGTACATCTATGACACGTTATTTTGCACTCCGTTAATTTACGGATATTTCTGGTGTTCAGTAGGATGACGTATCAGGTTCAGGGAAGGCATCGAGGGAGAGAGAGAGAGAGAGGGACCGGTACACTCGCTGAAATGTTTCTACAATAACTTAATTTCACTTTCTCAGAAGTGACTGTTGGAATCTGTTCCCGTTGATTTATCAAGCAGCTGGGTTACCTTGAACCTCTCCACAGCGCCGTGTTCTTTCTCTTCTTGCCGTTCGCTTGCTGGAGTAATAGTGTAGGCAAGTTTCTGCGTGAGACAAATAAGGAAAACAGCAGTTGAATGAACCGTATTATTCTCTTGCTTGCTGAGTGCGCGACACAGGCAGCTGAGCGCGCCGTCAGCGATTTGCCGTATTTCACTCCTGTAGGAGTGTTGACGAGCGCATATTATGACAGAAGTTCGTGTTCTGTATGCTCACATTTGATGGGCAATCTTTTTTTATTGATATCCTTGCAAATCAAATTTAATGGGCAAGTATATCCCCTAGTATTCTGCGGAGTAAGCGTACCTCGGCGCAGGTGCCCTTGGCCCGGCACAGCTTGAAAGCGGCCACGATGGGCACCATGGCGACCGAGGACAGGGCCAGGCCCCAGCCCATGTTGATGGCCCACGTTGGGTACCGGTAGTTGTGGTACTCCACGGGCGCCTGGTTAACGATGCCGCTCAGGATCACCGCCTGTCACAAAGGAAAGACACGGCATGTTAGTGCAATCTGAGCACCGACTCGACGACGGCCGCGGTTGTCTCGAGTCAGACAACTCGGTCCACTTGATGCTCTCGAAACATGGGATACCTCGAAATGAGTCGCAACGCGGCACACGCTATGGTAAAGATAGTTCATATAATCGCCTCCTGGCCGCTGCCATCTTTCTCTATTGGGCTGTGGAACGCGTTCTGGGCATGCGCAGTAGCTCTGTTGGAGTTTATATGTGTAGCTATCACCTTCCACTTTGATTGTTTACATTCCTATTTAGCAAACAAAAATACAAGTATGTTCAGCATCTCTTTAAACGTGCACGTTATATATGGATAATAGCAGCCAAATTACCTATTGTCTAAAGGTATTGCAAAAAAAAACAATTCCAATCATCAGTTTGTTTTTCAAAAAGAAAACGGCTCCGGGTTCGCAATAAAACAATTTGCTGAACATGAAAACGTTTGTCACACTCATCATATCTCTCTCAACGCTGCACCAAACGGAATAATAACACGGATTAAGCCTCTCTTCTCGTTTGAACAGCTTTATTTTGGCTCGGCCCATAAAACTTTCTTTTTAACCCTACTTACATGGATTTTTCAGTACAGTTGCCAAATTTGCAGTGCGTCTTAATTCGTGAACTTAGCAGCACAAAAACAAATATCAATTGATATAAATATTAATCGAATGTCAGCCCGTGACCTGAAACACCGCACAACCATAATTGTGCGTCAAAAAGGCATTATTCATTTGAGCCATTCCCTAAGAAGCATAAAACCGTTCGTTATTGAATATTTTGATTCTTGTGTGCTTGTTCCTGTTGCCGAGCAAAAATGAATCACGAGTGAAATCGACGAGGAATCAACGAACTGACCACAAGAAAAGTCGGAGTGATAAACTTCCAGCAAAGCCGCCAGAAGATCCCGGGGCGGAATCCCAGCATCTCGTTGATGTTGCCGCAGAATCGGTCCAAGCCTGCGTTCACAAACCGGGCATACATTCGTGTTGGCCAACACAAACAAGAGCGGTAGTCAGGCGACTCCCAAGGTTATCGTCACACGCAAGTCCCGTCCGCATTCAGAAGTTGGCCAACGTGCGGTTACGCAGACCTCGAGAATCATTTGAACGGATTTTTTTTTTTTCACTATTGTTATCACACGCTGCAACCAAGCATGCTAACTCTAATCATTATGGACAGCGAGAAAAATAGCCCTTTCACTTAATTACGAGAAAAACCCGCGACTAGGTAAAAAAAGGACAGGTCAAACACACGAAGAAACCCTAGTCTCGTGTTTTTTTTTTTTTTTTTTTTCGTAATTATGTTAAGTTTACATCGGCTCGTTTTCACACTCACCTTTTGTTCATTAGTCCTTTCACCCTTATTTTTAGTATCACCATGTACTTGAAGTCAAAGACACTCCTTAATGATTCTTAAAAGTTAAGCAGGATGTTCCTTTTTTTCTCTCTCCAACTCTTACGCTAGTGTAATCTACTGTACATGTGCCTTCATCGCGTAATCATACATTTCATTATAATATTTAAGTGTCTGTGTGTGTGGGGGGGGGGGGGGAGGGGGAGCGGAGGGGAGAGGGGCGGGGGGGGTTCAATGCCCATTTTGCACAAATTTCCTTACTGGGGACCACACATCATGCATCCTACATTCACTCCTTGATTTGAACTATCCCCTCAACATGAGACCAAACTCTTCTGTTTGTAAAATAGACATTCACTTGATGCTCCCTCCCCTACCCCTACCCCCCCCCCCCCCCCCCCCCCCCCAAGGGCAGTCCACTATGTAAATCTTTTGGTACGGTTTTGTCTTGGCCTCTCTAAGTGTCTGATTGAAGCTCGATTGGTATCATGCTGCACCATTATATCCAACCGGCCAAGTTGGGCCTCTAATGGTGAGCTTACACTCACGGAATCGCGCGCGGATTCGCGCCGGCGGTGAGTGAAGTTTTGAGCCGGGTGGGCGAATCCGCTCTTCGCTGGCGGAAAATCTGGATTAGTCCGGGACCCATACCCAGCTTTTGCGTGACAACGACCAATCAATTTCGTCACCCGGTTCCAAAATCTGCTCTTCGCCGGCGCAGATCCGCCAGCGATTCCGCTAGTGCGCTGCTCGACAAGCAACTCACTGCGGGTGGTTCTGCCACTCAGAGAAGGCAGTGCTGGGGCTCTAATCTGGACACTTGGCGAAAACGTCGGCGAGGGGATTTTACCGCCGTGATTGGACGGTGCTAAGGTCTAGCGCGACGCCGGCCAATCACGGTCTCGCCTCACCGACCATTTCGCCAAGTGTTCAGATTAGAGCCCCTGATGGGCTTACCGTAAAACCAGGCGATGCCAATAGACTCGAAAAGCGCCGAGCAGAGCAGGGAGATGCCGGCCGAATAGGTGTCGAACCAGGTTATCATGTAGCCTCCGCCCTGTAAGATAATGGCCACGCGAAACCTTCAGGGACCAGCTAAAATCACGGGCAACTTAACCGCTGCGATGCGTTAACATCAACGCCGACTCAGGATTGACGTGTAGGCCTTTTCTGGGGTAAATCCAACCGAAATTCGCAGGTGTGGAAAGGGCGGGGATAACCAATGACTGAAGCCTAAGGAAAGAGGGCAGCGAATGACACAGGTTAAGAAAACATCCTTACCTAGAAGTGCGATCTGCGCAGGGAGAGTGAGCATGACGTTATATGGGCACGGTACCCTAAAGTATAGCTCGTATTTCTATTAAACAATTTTTGGGGTTTCGTCATTCGCATGGGCGGTATAAGTTTGAGGTATACTTAAAAAAGTTTGCACAATTAAGGGCGTAAAAAGGGTGGTCGAGAAACTTACACCCATGGCCACACTCTTTCAGGTTCCTGACTTCTAGTAATACAGCCTATCTGACTGTAAAATGTGGTGCTGTTGCATGAAACACTGTTCATTTTGGAAGGGTGTAAAACAGGCGTAGAAAAGAGTGTTGCATTTGCCGTGTGTGCATGAAGCGGCAATATACACATTTCAAACAGCTTTTGCGCAGGTTGTTTAACGACTACATCGCATAATTATTGTCCGTACCATCGCTTTTTACTTAGACATCATTGCTGGAACTGCGAGATAGTATGCGTTATGTGAAATATTCACGAGAACAAACCAACGTACTATATACCCGACAACCTTCAGTTGTCGAGTTTATAGAACGGCGCTGCAGTCAACAGGGCCGTGATCACGGTCCCGTGTGTGCTTCATTGGGTCTGCATTTATGGCTTCTGTGCGTGGGACAACTGCATGTAGTGCGTGTGGCTTACGAAATTGTTCCTCGTATAGTACATATCTAGGGATGCTTCGAAGATCGCCACCACCCTAATTTTAGGGTGTTCGTCAGCACCCTCAGGGTGTCCGTGTCACACCCTCGGCGCGCTAGCCCTGGGAGAAGCTGATTTACACCCCCTTAATGGTGCGAGATTGTTGGGTGTGTGGCCTAACGTACGCCTCATGTTTCTAAATATATCTCTACGGCGGGATGCTGCTACGACTGCCAGCTCCCTAAAGCCGGAGTCGCACTCCCTCTGCATTATACAAAAAGACAGCCTGCGCACAGATTCGAACGCGAGTCACCGCGAGATCCGTGCTTCGAATACCGCATGGCAACGGTTCGAGGAGGAAACTTGGCACGCGGCATTCGAACCACGGATATTACGCCGACTCGTGTTTCCGGACTGTATTTCGTATGATGTCCGAGAAGTGTGAACCCCGACTTTTGGGGCGTTCGAGTCACACCCCTAAGTCCCAGTCACACTGTTCATGCATCGAACAAAAGACATTCGCTGCAGACATAATCACAATTATCTCCGGACACGCCTCAGGCATGTTCCAAGCATGTTGGCTTCATGTGTGCTTCGAACAAGTCTGCAGACAGTGTTTGCATGACCAATGTGACCGTCATACAAGGAAGACCTCAAACATTGTCTCCAGACTGTCTTTGGCATGATATTTTAGCAGTGCGGCCGCTGATTTACACCTTTAATGGTGTAAGATTGCTCGGTGTGTGACCTAACGTAATATACCTCATGTTTCGATGGAAACATTTTGTGTGTGTGCGTGGGGGGGGGGGGGGGGGGGAAGGGGGGGGGGGAGGATTCGTCATTCACAGATTCACGGCTGTTCAAGAATGAGGTAGCCAGCTTTCCGCGTGCTCCTCTAGTCAACATACGCGAGAAAATAATCAGGAAATGCCTCTTAGTTTTTATTTTTATTTTTATTTGATCTTTTAAGTCGACCTCATTGGCGTCCTCTGGCTCGCCGACGACCCTGAGCCACTGTTGTTCTAGCGGCAGCGTTTTGAGTCTCGCCGAAGGCGCCCCCCCAGCGTCGTAGCCGGGAGCAAACAACGGGTTTCTGTCCTGGGCAGTCGCTTTCTCCGGGACTCGGCCGGTGTGGGCGAGGGAAAGGCCGCGCAGAACGCAGCCAATTAAGGAGCACACGGGACGGGGGACACTCGCGGACTCGAAGGCGGGAGGCCCACGTGGCGAGCGGATTCGGCGGGAAGCGCTGCCTCGAGGGTTTTACTGCCGCCGCGCTGTTTGCCCGGCCCGGTCAGCGGCGGCACGGGACAACAATCGAAGGGCAACGGCTACTGTACTCTGTGGCACCTTAGCGTGAACTCTGCGGATAAGGCGGGTTGCAAGCGGGTAGCTGTGGCTACCCGCTTGCGCTAGCACGTACAAACAAAGAAGTGAAAAGCGCGAATGCAAGAAATCTTAATCTGTAAAAGCATGTAAAACAAAAAAGAAAAACGCACGAATTAGCGCGTGGCAAAATACCTTGGTTGCGGTCGCATCGCCAGGAAATGGGGAGGTGACGGGAGGTGGGCTCATCTTTGTCAATTTCAGTATACCGCAAAGTCCCGAAAAAGTGTATACAAGCTTTTTCATGCGCCTACTTTCCCGCCGACAGATGAATGCCTTTCCTTTACAACTCGCTGATAGCGTTCCGGTTCAGAAATGTGAGGAGCACTGGGATTTAAATATCATCGGTGCCATCCACTTATCTTTCTTAGTAAACGGCAGTGACTGGCTGTTCTCACACCCTGTGGCAACGCAAACGCGAATACATTATTCATAAAAAGCTCGTACTACCTGCGGAACTTTATCACATTTAAAGAAAATGTGCGACTAAGAACGAAGTAAGTTTATCACGAACATTTCCGTCAGCGTTTCAGTAGGTTCAATGCCGTCACGTCCGCTGCCACACGGACCACGAAAATCGCTTTCAAAAGCTCATAGCTCGATTCTCGTATTAACCTGAAGCGCCTGTCACCGACTATTCGCAGCTTTCAGCGATCCTGGTAGCGCGGTGTGAGAATCGCACTCCCCATTATAGCTCCTGGATGATCGGCTTCACAACGAAGGTTCTAGCGTGCACCTTCCTGACGTGGAAGTATGAGGTAAGACTCTTATATTGCCCGTATTTAAAAAAAAAAAAAGAAAAAGAATTACTTACATGTCGCACTCCGAACCTCGTACTGCTGTTCTACGACCATCATCCAGATGACAGCCATTTTGGTAGGAACTAGCGCCCCCCCCCCCCCCCCCCCCTAGATGCCTTCAAAAATTACTCCCTCTTACGGTCGATCTGAAAATTCTGCAAAATGGCGTGCACAAAAGAAAACATAAGAATTGCAAGTCTTATGGCGTCTTTGTTGTTGCGGGTTATTTGTTTCTCCTTTTTCTTTTTCTTTTGTCTCCCATGGCCCTTGTTGTTTCTTGTTGTTGTCTTTTCGCTGTGTGTACGCGATTGGTTCCGTTTACTCGAGGGTTGATAGTGCCAAGTAAATCGATGCCACTTTTTGCTACCATGATTGAACACTCTTTCTTTCCTAGATCGCCGATGATTTGTCATGTATACTTGCTGTGTGCATGGATTTTGTGCTTTCCTTTGTGTGTGTCTGTCTATGCCCACCCCTGCCTTGGCTGCCAACAGGCGGATGGCAGTATGTCCAAATAAATAAATAAATAAAATAAATATATTGTACACGGTCTCCTGGAAGTGAGTATTACATCAGTTACAAACATGCCGGCTTGTTGGTGTTTTTTGCTCACGCCACTTTGCAGTGAAATTTGCGAAATAGTATATTCTGGGCACTGGGCACCATGCACCACGCACTGAGTCACAACATTATTCTGTAATGATGTCACGGAATCTAGGGACGCGCGCGTTCGACTCTCGGAGAAGGCAGCGTTGCCTTTGACCGGGGTCTCCAGAAGAGACGCGGCTCGCTCCTCGTACGAGCACGTCACCGGCGTGTCCTTCGCCGGGAACCGGGCGACCGCTTACCCTGGTGACGTTCACGATGGACACGCAGAAGGAGGCGCAGATGACGACGGCCGTGAAGACCTCTCGCCGACACCGCCACCGGGAGAAAAAGGGCTTGAACTCGTCCATCAGACCCGTGATGACGCTCTCCAGACCGCCCATCTGCGCGGCAACAGTCTCGTTGTTGTGGTTTTTAGTTTTTTTAGGGACAAAATAGGTTTAAAGGGAGTGTGGGAGGGCATTACGCACTGAATCGATTTAAAAGAAAATAAATGCGTCAAGTAATGGACAGCGGTGGCGGACACGACAGGATTCTTCGGCGTACTATAGGGGATGAATGAATTATTTGGGTTCCAAGCAGTGTTGTCGGTAACGCGTTACAAGTAAAGGCGTTATCGGTAACGCGTCACTTTCTTTTTTTTTTTGCTAACGTGTAACGTACTCGTTACTTTTTGAATACAGTAACGGGTAACGTACTTACGTTACTTATTTCGGGTTTTTGCATAGACACAATGTTTTTGAATTATGGCGTTTATGCATCTTGTAACGTCAAAACAGTGAAACGTGTTAATTCATAAACAAAAAGTAACGCAAAAGTAACGTGCGTTACCTTTTCTTGGTAACTATAACGTTTACTCGTTCCTTTTATTTTGAAGTAACGTGGGACGGGTAACGCGTTACTTTTATTTGGAAGTAACGGGTGACATATCTTGTTACTTTTTGCCGGTGGTGGTGGTGGTGGTGTTGACCTGACGTGATGTTTTTTCTCACTGGGCTGTGGAAAAGTTTCACGGGCTTGGGCCATTGCAATTTTGATGGGAATGAATGCAGGGGAAAGGAGGGGGAACAGATGGTGATGAGAAATATAGGATCATGAAACGCAAGTTAACAAATTAAAGTAAAATAAGGAGTCGGCAAGAAATCAGTCAAAAGTGAGAAAATGGGCACATCTAGAACGCGAGTATCACAAAACGTTCACAAATTCCCGCAGGAAACTTCACGAGAAAACTATCACTGGCGCACAAGCACGAAAAAAGAAGTGGGCGGTAGTATTTCCTCACATATCACAGCCTTGCCAGAAGTCCACAGGCATCCACGAAGCTGAACACAGTCTTTCGGAGACGTGTGCACGTGCATGGTCGACCCTTGGGGAATAGCATGTCCACGAGGGGGGATGAAACACCGAGGCTCTTCAGTGAAGCTAGAAGGACCAGCTCGTTCTGTACTCTCTTAAAGATGCCTGCGCGTCTACTTACCCGCAAAACACTTGAAGAGCCAATCTCTCCGATCTACGAAATCAGCTCAGCGAATGACGAGACTGAACATCCGTTTAGACCTAAAAGTGAAGTCGGCGTTGGGGTATTACGGAATGCAAGCATGACGCTTGGCTTTGCTTTGTGTAATGCCACAGTGCGGACTTCATTTTAAGGTCTAAACGGATGTTCGACCTCGTCATTCGCTGAACTGATTTCCTAGATCGCAGATTGGCTCTTCTAGTGTTTTGCCGGTAAGTAGACGCGCAGGCATTTTTTAAAGTGACAGTATAGTGTCCAAATTAAAAAAAAAAAAAAAATTATGCGTCAGCGTTTTTGGCTGATTGCAGTGCTCCCAGAAAGGGCTGGTTGTTCTTTTGATGTGGTGCGATATATGAAGATCCAGAAGGGCGTTGGGGTACAATGAAGCACACCGAAAAATCATCAGCAAATCGTGATAATTCAAGGCCAGACTGAGGGCGATGGACACATCTCGAGGTGTTGGAGATCAGCCCATACCTCTCAGCACTTTGTAGATCTTTGGCTTAGGTACACATGGAGTTAGTGACGAGGCAAATTGACGAAATTGTCGACGACGAAGTGCGCCAGTATGCCGGCGTAAAGCTGACGTAACACGACGACAGCCTACCCAATGAGGTACTACCCTACCAGATCGGCGCGCATGGCGCTGAGTGCGGCGGCGAAGAGCATTTAAGCGTACAAACTTCAAATCCGGGGAAGGCTGAGATATCCTTGAAGATATTTTAGGTGTGAATTGAACGAGCCATGTAGGACTAGCCTTTAGTATATCCTCTGACGACTGAAGAAAGCGAAATTTTTTGCAAAATACGTCCCATTTTGTTACACCATTGACGACATGGGAGGCGGCCCACTTCGGGTATATTAATCAAAACTGGAAGATGATCGCTTCCACGTGTGTCCCCATCCTACGACCAGTACACGTATAGATTTGGGGAAGCGAAAGTAAGGTCCCACACTCTACGTTCTCCGCGATGACCGAAAAATGTGGGAAAGCTGTCATTCAGAATTATCAAATCTGTTGATTCAATCTTACCCGCGAGAGTCGTACCCCGAGGCGTCGTGCGTTTGCAACCCCCAGAGAGCGTGGTGAGCGTTAAAATCTCCGCATATAAAAAGACGATCACGAAATTGAAGACGTAGGCTACGAATTGACTTAGCATCAAAGCCGACCAGAAGGACATGTATATATACAAACACAATGGTCATCTTAAAGGAGCGAAATATGACAGTGCATGCTGCAAATTCAGCTGTTCCTGTACACAGATGGGACACATCCTCTGTAGCTTGCTGCACACTGGAGTGAACAAAGAATGAGGCCATTGACGAGCTGTTAGGCGTGACTGCCGCGCTTTGGTAGTAATGGACATACAACTGAATTCTAGAGCCATGTCTGAGGCGGCATTCTGTAGCTGAGATGAAAGATGATACTGCAACTCTTCTAATTTAGTAATGATGCTGCAGCGGGCGTTTCATTGTAAAACAGATGAATAGGAAGTCATAAAAATAAAACTGAGTAGAAAAGCTTTCATCGCAGATAACTTTCGACAAGAGGCTTTATGGGTGCGATAAAATGCAGGAGCTGGTTTTCCCATGTATGCTGTAGAAGCGGAAGAAATTTTCGCGCTATGACGAGTATTTGGCGTACGAAGCTACCTAACAAGGAAGTGAGGGTACTTGGATTTGGGTGTGGAGGTATTGCCTCCTGTCCAACACTTAGAGGAGCTTGAGTGGCCGGGAGTACAGGTCCGGCCTGAACTGGGGGTGACGACGATGGGGGCTTGTTTTACAGCCCTAGCGGACGCCACCGGCGCCGCGGATGCGCGATGGAGTGTGGGCAAGAAGCTCGCCGTCGCCCACAAACAAACCCTTGAAATACGATGTTGTCGGCATCGGTGTGAGTCCCCCTCTCCTTTTTCACGTTCGAATTGTTGATTCTCCGTCTTCCTGGATATGCCTGACTACTTGAGCCGTTTCGGCGAAATTACCGAGGCTCGTTACACCGCAAAACTTCGCGTGAATAATGTGACATGCGGCGATTCATTCCGCGTGGACGCCGCAGAATGTACGCTAAAGCTTGATTCGCATGATGAGATTTCACTCGCAATTTTAAGTCGCGACATCGCTCGGGCTGCAAAAGCGTGAACCGTAGCTGAGATGGTCGACGTCGATACTGAACATAGCAAGCAGAATCGGACCAAGTAAATCAGGCATAACAAGTCTGTGATGGCCACTGGTAACAATGATCAACGTTTCCTCGTATCTACTGGTTACATCGAGCCTGCTTACCAACCTTCAAACTTAAGTATTTCGAGGCCTGCACTTACTTCTTATCGCAAGTACCAAGCCAACATTTGGTCAACGTGCCGGTGTCGTCTAAAGGAGAAGACGACAAGCAGAAGCGTTTGAAAGAGCAGACGACAGTTCGAACGATCAGGCGGCCTTTCGAACTTGAAGACGCACTGAACGTAGTCCGCAGGTGGTCCATACAACTTGACGGTTTTCCGGCGTTCATGTTGGAGCAAAAAATAAATCTGACGACCACAAGTATCCGTGAATTATACCCAAAGTGCTTCCTGCCCAAGCAATCGCGGTCCGACGGCGTCTGGTTTTCCATTTTCATGGCACATATCCACGTTCTCGGACAAACCGAGCGCATGAAAACTATTTTCAAAGTTCAAACCTTTCTCGACTCTTTTGCTACAGCCCGAGCCGCGGCGTTTTGACGAGAATGCAGGTTTTTGTCAGGTTCCTTTCAAAACAACGCAGGAATACACGTATCACATGGGGACTTCCGCCCACAGCCCCAGACTGGAAGTGCGCCCGAAGCGCCACCACCGCGCTGTGACGTAACAGAGATGAGTTCGTGTATATACGGTGTCGACTTTCATGTGAGGAACAAAAACAGATAAATTCTGCCTGATGAGGCTCTATACGCTTACACTGCTGAAAAAACAAAAGGTAAAAATAGCAATGAAAAAGAAACAAAAAATGATATAACGCGATATCTTATGCAATCATTTTAGCGTGCAATGGAAGAATAGAGAAAAAAATGAACATAGCTAGAAAAAAGTTGATTGCTATATATTCAGCTATAAATTGCAACTTGTCATATGTGAATGTGACTCGATTCATTAATTTGACCACGGTGCCTATCTGACCTGAGAGGAATGGGTGTTACGTGACAGGGTAAATAGGGAGAGTCAGAAAATGAGAACTTCCGTAACGGCTGCGTTTGCATAACTATGAAATTGCGGATCAGATTAGCAGAGTCTTATATCGAAGAACCTATAGTTTCGCGAAACAGAGGCGCCCTTTGAACGCGACCGAAAAAGACGCGCGCATCCGAAAAAGGTTGCACGCCTCGCTTCTGGAGCGAGATTTTGCTAATTTTTGCTAAAACCTCATCGAGGCCTGTCAATCACCTGAAGGAGAAACGCGGACGCTGCCAATGGCCGCTCAACATCGCTGTGACGTTTGACCTTCGAGGAGGAGCGAGCTTTTAGAGGAGCCTAATTTGCGGCCGATCCTGTGCTTGATTTCGCTTTCCTTTATAAATATTTGTTTATAAATTTTTAGTGGATATGTAAAAAACCGGTGTCTAGCTTTATCTTTATTTTAATTTTTATTTTATTTCATTCTGGGTTATGAAAAGCATATCGCCCTACATTGTTCAAACTGTGCCGCTTGTGTAGTTGTTTGAGTTGAGTTTTTGTATTTCATGTGTTTTCAGATATGTCTATAATAATTGTTTCTATTTGTTTTTGTGACGATGGCTGCCTGTCTTGTTATTTATTCTCACTGTGACTTGTTTGAGATATTTCCGCTGTATGAACTGCAGGGGGCAGAGGCGCTGTCAGGCATCATGCCTTTATCTCTGCCCCCTCTGCGGATGAATGAAATCCGCAAAACAAATAAATAAATAAAAAAAAAACATGGTGGCAAGCGACAAGCCGAGAAGCGTTGCGTACGGGCGATACGGGTTAGCAGAACGGTTTGGTGGCGCGGTGCCTGTTTCACAACAGCCGCAACGAGTGCAAGCACTGCATATAAACATGATGACTGGGGATAACTGATATTTTAGCGGTGCAAAATTGCCCGAATACTTGGAGATCATCGGCCTGTTCTTCGACGTTCGCTGTCTTTCTCCGGTTTGGCAGGCCTAGCCAACCGAGTGAGCTAAATCTGATGGAGTTCATTAACAAAGCAGACTGACTATGCAGATGACAAGGTTTGGCGAAATTCTCGTGAGTCAATACGTCACAGATTTCGTGCGTGAAACTCTACGTGTGAACAGGCGGATTTTGCGACATCTCGGTTTCGCTAAACCGTTGTGCGTTAAAAAGATGCATCCTGTGAATAAACCTTAAGTCATGTTACGAAATCACAGGCGAGCTTTATGTCGTTGTTCGCAGTATCGCGGTGAATGTCGAGGTCATTCATATTGCCTATGCAGTGACTGTAGCAGAAAGCTTTTTAATGGCGTTTTCCCGCCTCAACGAAAAACACAAGCATCTTCTCCTACCGCAATGTAGCCGCAGCTTTCATAGTGCGTGCGAAATACTGTAATCTGAAGAAAACAAAATCTCGTTTTTGATCCGAATGACATTATTCAATTCGTTTTATATTCTCATGCAGGCTGCATTTTTCTGTCACTGCCAAATTGCTTTGTTGTCTATTATCTTAAGGAAAGATGCGGGTCAAAAACCGGCAACATTTCGTCAAAGTGTAACTTCGGGTTTGGTAAAGTTTTTTTTTTTTTTTTTGTTTTTTTAATCTCGATATTTTATGTACAAAAATAACAAGGACCCGTTATGATCGCGAAATTAATCAAACGCTAATTTGAAGAACTACTGGAGACCCAGAAAAGTGTAAATGTGCGCCATTTTTTGTGTCCACGGTTCTTGAAATTGGGACATCGCCCGCCATCATATTTATTTTGGGAATTAGGCCTAGCTGTCTCGTCTCCATTGCATGCTTCTATAGCTTTAATTCTTCACTAAAATGATTAACAAACATTCATTTTCTCGCCACGAAAGTGTGTCGCTGCACAATAATGGTAATATTCGAAAGCATTTTTCTCTTTTTGTAATTTCGAAGCATCTTCACAGTCTGCACACGATAATTTTTGTTATTAATATTGTCTAATCGCAACAAAATTTGGCATGCCTGTGCTTTAGGATATTTAGAATGCAACTATCAAGGTTTGGTTGAATGTATATTTTTGTATTTATAAAAAAATTCAAGAAACTTTTGTTAGCCCTTTGAAATTGGCGTTCTTTGTGATTTTCACTGATTTCAAATGGAATAAATTTCGCACATATTATTTTTGTTGTTCATTGCACTCGGTGGTTTAAAAGGAGAAAATTAGCAGATGAAACTACATTCGTTTATGTGTGTTGCCATCTCCCACGGGCCACGCGTGTGCGAGAAAATTTTTTTTTCTGCATGTGCATTGCACCCAGGACATAAAAAAAGCTATATCAGAACTGACACAAGATTTATAAAAAGGAGAGCAAGCATTTTATTGAGATACGTTAAATAATAATTTAAAATATATATATATTATTTTTGTTTTTCCCTGGCGCATGTCCCCTTAACATCAACCGAGCCAAGACAATATATTACGCTCTGGTGCGAGTTTGGGTACGTATTTCTGAAAAAAACAGCGTGCACACCCGAAACCCAAGAAGGCGGTTTGAGTTTGGTGCGTGCGCGCTAAGACGACGCTATTTCCTTGGGTGCGGAAAGCGCTTGGGTCGCTGTTCTAAAACTCCCATTAGCCCAGCGTAACTCCGCGATGTGGGAACAACCAAGCCGCGTGGGTAAGTGGCGTGCGGAGCGGGCGAAGGCAACACCTCCCGATAACAAAATTCAGCGGTAGGCCTGAATTTTGAACGTCACCTAAGAAGGCAAACCCGAGGCATGGATTGGAGACGAGTTCTGCGTCCGCGTTCGTCTCAGACTCGTGTGCTCACTGACTGGCCATGAGTCTTAACCGAACGCTGACGTCATCACTCGTGTCCAATCCGTGCCCCGCGGTGGCTTTCTTTAGTGGCACAAGAAAATGCAGTACTGAGGCTTGCTTATCCACGAGGCGTTGCTAGGATTCTGTTATCTCGAATGTGTTGGTGAAGGCGGGTTCACTGACGGCGCTGTCGAGGCCCAGGGTGAGGAGCATGATGAAGAAGAGGACGGCCCAGATGGGAGCCCCGGGCAGGGTGGCGATGGCCTCCGGGTACACCTGGAACACCAGGCCGTGGCCCTCGGTGGCCACCGTCTGGATGGGGACGCCCTGCTTGGCCGCCATGTAGCCCAGGTACACGAAGATCACGAAGCCGCTGTAGAAGCTCGTGAAGCTGTTCACCGCCGTCGTCATCAGGCAGTCCCTGCGCGCGCAGCATTGTCCCTTTGTACCCGCCAGATAAGACATCCAGGTGGCGTGGACTGCATAGTGTAACTGCCTTTGCGTTTCGCTAAGAACCTAATTGGAAAACACGTGAAAGTACCCAGGTCAAATGCAAAACAAACACACACACACGCACGCGCGCGCGCACATGCACGTGCACACACAGACAGACAGACAGACAGAGGAACGAGAACTGCGCCCAGACACCGGTTGTCCTATCAGTTTTTTTTTTTCTATTTTTTTTCGTTTGTTTGTTCTTAAATTACGTAAAATCAGTCAGCCACGTCAACCAATTTCGCTGAAAGGGATGAGAGCAAATATTACTATAGAGAGAAAGTGCGACGGTTGCTTCTGGACGGCAAGACTGTACTCCGCATGCGCGACTCTCATCAATACGCTTCGCATGGTCAGCACCTCCTCGGTAGCTTTAAAGCCCACGCATTATGTCACATGGCGTCACGTCCAGGAGGCCGGCACGGGCGCTGATTGGATGCGAGTGCCGCGTCAGTGTTCGCGTGGGGCTATGATAGGAAACGAGCCCCACGCGAACGCTGACGCGGCACTCGCATACAATCAGCGTCCGTGCCGGCCTCCTGGACGTGACGTCATGTGACATAATGCGTAGGCTTTAAAGCTGCCGAGGAGGTGCTGGCACGGCACATCAGAATCAACACGATATTGGAAAGAAGAATGAGGATTACGCGCAAACGCTAGATGGCATTCCCTACAGATAATTTAAGGGTGATTCGGCATATTGTTACTTTTCGATGTACCCCCGACTTTGAGCATAGCCACGTCCTTTATTATGTACTGCCTTCTTCGTACACGAGTAATGTAGCATATACGTCCAAATAAGTATCCCGAGAGCGGCGTGCAAGTTCCGCGGGGAAACCCGGGGTGTAACCGACCTGTAGCAGTTGTTGTGGAACGGGTTGTAGGAGGCGTACGTCAGGTGCACTCCAAACCCGACTCCTACCGAGTAGAAAACCTGCACAGCAGCGTCCACCCACACCTGCAACCGGCCACGGGAAAAGGCACGTGTCTGAATGCAACGTCGCCTACACAACTATTTTATAGTAAATACGCCGTGTAAAACTATGCCTCGTCTCTTTCTACAGTGGACTGTAGCCAAGCCCAACTACGAGCCAGTTAAAAGCCGCGTGGCTCCGATATGAGCAAGAAATCGGCGCCCTAATACGTACATCGTAACAATGTACCATGTAGTTCCCGAGTGGCTCGTGGTTGAATCTATAGACGATCGCAAACATGGAATCTGGCGGCCGCCACATTCCTGCTTAAAGGGATTGTCCGGTCAAAACCGGAAGTACTTAAGTTTTTGCACTCGTTACGTCGAGGGAGCCTTCATGTCGACAAACAACATTTTTATTTTGATATGTGATCTCCCGTTATTAACTAAACCTTTCATGAGCATAGGTACGAAACTGCACCCCGAATTTCGCCAGTGTCAATGGCTGACATCCGTAGCTGCGTCGTGACGTCACAGAACGCAAAGGTTTGTCGGATGGTCGGTATAACAAGCGTTGGTCGATGGATGTCCTGTATTTTGTTTCAAAATATAAGTCCCCTAGGCCAGTGGTTCAGAAATGGGGGTCCGCGAAGGCCTTTTCGGGTTCTAGGGGTCCGCGAAGCCCTGCCTGATCAGTCAAGCCCGGGTATAAAAACTTATTTTTTTTTTTAAGGCCGAAATGTTTCAGTTTTCGGGCGAGTTTTTTTCGTGTGAACGTCAGTGAACCTCACACTAGCCCTTAGTTATATCCATTTATTAAATTGATTATTATATTTAACCTGTACCTTTTCTCTCCTCTCACCACGAACGGGGTGCTCCATCATCTCCGCCGATCTACATGGGGTCCGCGAAACATCGATGGTTGATAACCACTGTCCTAGGCTGTACCCTACTGAAATAAAATTCGTTTATTGCAGTTCCTAAGCGCATGCAAAAAAGTCACGCCTTTTAACAGAACATTACTCGAAAACAGCCATAAGCTTCGAGTAAACGTATGTTGTTTCGCGCAAACACAACTCCGACGACCACCGATCGAATCAGGAGCGCTTGCAAGGCAAAGAATGCAGATTTCGCCTCTGAAGCGGCAACTAGGTACACGAAGCGGTATCTGGGTGCACATATCGGCGGATCCACTGGATTGGTGATGAGGCTGCGGGTCTTTCCCTCAGAGGCGATAATCGCGGGTCGAAGGCAACCGGCGAATCGTTCAAATGCATGTCGTCACTTGACTTGGACGAGATTGGTGAATCGTAGCCACACTCTATTTGCACATGCGGGTCAAACAGAATTTGGCTGCACGCCTGCTAAATACAACTTCTGGTATCGTTTCCAGGTGGTCTAGCTGTTGGTTTCGGTTTCGCTGCATAAACAAATTGACTGATCCGATCTGTGCGAGGAGTGCATGGACGTAGTTTAATATCGTTGGCACAGCATCACACCTCAGCTTACGAGCCTTCTGTCCGCTGAACTCAGCTCGTAGCTCTCTTCTGTGAGATGATTGCTGCATAAGCGGGATCTCGATCTTGACGGGAACCCAGTCCCTACGCACGGCGACGATCCATTTTGCTCGTCACTGCACGTCTCGCGGAAAAGTTTGGAACGTCATGTCTTGGCTCGTATGTGCTGCCCGGTGGTTGTGGCACCCAACCGCGCAAAAAAAAACTCACCCAACCACGAAACAAGTCGAGCACAACAACAAAAACGAAGCACGCCGAGGCGTTCACTTGCAGGTAAACCAGGTAAACGACGAGACAGAAATGCTCGCGTTGTGTTGTGTGACGTCAGAGCTCCAATGTTGCCAACGAAAACAGCGTTTACGCTAGAGTGCGATTGGAGCAGCATAAATTCAATTACTGATGCAGAGATCCATATAAAATTCAGATATTGCATGTACGATGCGTCTCGATGCAATAACAATGATATTCAATTGTTTTCTCGAAAACAAAATTTGACCGGACAATCCCTTTAAGTGAGAAGGCATTTGAAATCGCAGGCCTGCCGAAGCCACCTTCAAGCGCATGCTGCACGTGCTTGGACGCATGGGGCACCAGCCGGGACGCCATGCTTACAAACGCGCGTGGGGAGTATTCACTGGTGGCCATAGCTGTGTGCTCGAACGCTGAGCGCGTGCTGATGGCTAGCTTCCACTGTTCTTTTGCAACGTGCATTCCGCACCATCGAGATTGCCGGTCTTAGCAGTCTATTAATTTGAGCTCGTTCTGAGCATGCGCTCTGAACATCGCCCTCAAATATGGCGTCCAGTGAATACTCCCTAAAGCCCATCGTAGACTGAGACGAGGTATAAGGCTCTGCGCATGAGAGAGTAAGATATTTTTTTACGTCATAACAATACCATCTTCTGTATAATTGGTAAATACTCAATACCAGGTTAAAAAGTTAATTAGAGAAAATAGCAGGGAAGCAATAAAACGGGCAGTACCCGTGAAGGTTTACCACACGGGTATGTATTCGCCTCTAGGGAGATCATCTGTTTGCCCTCGGAGCTGGTTTTAGCGTTCGAAATTCTATTAGGCGTAAACAGAAAGCCTTGTATGTATAGTATACTAGCTGCACCGGCGAGAAGCTAAGAAGGAACACAAACGGCGATGGTTGCCTCTTCCATCCTCGCCGCGTCTTGTTTTTTCATTCCTTTGTCAGATGACTGGTATTCTTCAAACTAATATTCGGGGAGAGCTGTTTACTTTTATCGGATAGCTTGTCCTAGCTTCTAAGCTGAAAGGGTGTGATGTTGTGCTGATGCGAGCGAGTGCTCAGAAGCATTGCTTTTGGTTCCTGTAGAATTGAACGCAGCCTTTCTATAGCAGGTGCATCCAAAACAATCCACAAAGATGATTGTCTGTTAATTTTATCCAGATCAATAGCGACTCACCTGCGCAGACGTAGTGAACCTCTTTCGTACGGAATACACCAACTCAATGCTTCTAAGCACGCGTGTGGTCACGTGATGAGTGTGAATACTGCGTAAGCGACGGAAAAAAAAAAAAAAAACGAAGACAAGACGACCTTACAATTTGCATAATTTGCGCGTGAAGCGTCTAGATTCTGCCACCGTGTGCGAAATGACATCAAATACCTAATTTTGTGTTTTCCCCACTCACACTTTTAAAACTCAACAACCGCAAAACGGGAGTACGGCTTTCTAGAAAAGCAGTATATTGTTTTTACCAGTTTATCACCTATTTTATTAGGTCACAGTTCTCGCATGTATACATATAACTCCTCGTATAAGCCTATGCGGCTTGTGCGTAGGTTGACAGCAGAGCTTTGGTAGATCTATACAATTTCAGTAATACACTTACAAGTATACTTCGTCAGAAGACTTTCCTTCAGTCAAAAAATAAATAATGTTTATGCAAGAACCGCACAAAAGATTCTTTCTCACTTTCCCCTTCGTAAGATGTAAACAATTTGAATAATACACTTATATACATTATCACACGCTTCCATTGAGTCGAAATAAAATAATGTTTACACAGCGAGTCACGCACAGATCATTTCTCTATTTTCCGTACGTCAGATTTTCATGTGGTATTATTCATATTCCTCGAAAGAAAATAGCGTCTACTCCGAAACCACACAGAATAAAGGCTGGTTCGCACTGCCCCATTTTTTAAGTTTCGTCACGAAATATTACGTCGAAGTCACCGGGACCTCTATGCTTCATATTAAGCGAGGCTACCAGTTCTAGGAGAAAGCATGACACGCGACATTCGAGATACGAATGTTTCGGTGACTTATACGAAACTCAACTTAACGTGAGAAAGTGGGGAAGTGTGAATGAGCCTTTCATTTTTTTCCCTTCCTCGCCTTCTCATTGATTATCTTTTACAAAACCATTCCCTAACGTCTTTTTATAATGAGCTTAATTTTGTAGTTCCTATAATTTCGGACGGAAGGTTTTTTTAAAAATATAATTTCGGTTCATAATGTTATATAGCCTTCGGTATTTGGTCAAAAGAAACGGTTCATCAAATACTTAACTCTATTGTTAGTACTTGTTTATTTTATTTGTCACTAAAAAAGACGTTTTCAAAATAATTTTAAGGTCAGCAGGTCACGAAGCGGTTGACTATCTAGTTGCGGATAAATTTAACCCAAAGAAACATACGCGTACCTATTAACAGAATAGATTTTTTCCTGCTTTATTTCGCATTGAGTTCATATATTTTGAAGTAGTTCGCCCATTGACCATAGATTGTGGCTTCATATTTTATTACTGGCTTTCCCAGCGTATTATAGATATGTATATTCTCCAAACCTAAAAAAACACAATGTTTCTTCTTTTTTTTTTTATAGTAAAGGTGAGCTTTCAGTTACCTTAAACTTTTGCAAACATAACAAATATGCTGGTTCCCTTTGAGGTGTTCCTAACACACATGGTGTTATTGTTGTATTGCTTTACAAATTTCTTCTTTTTTTTTTACGCCGTGAAAGTTACATTATTGTGGTTTGTTCAGGTTAGTTATACGGTCAAGGGAACGCGATATATAGGGCTAATCGTCATTATAAGTAAGATAATTACCTAAGATATTTTCATGAACATAATGATTAGTGAAAATAAACAACATTTTTTCCAATTCGGAACTTGCTGAGCGTCACCGAAAACCACTGTATCAGTCATTTTAGATGGACTTGAAGCAGGTGGGAAGCGCGGCGGTGCTCTTACCACACGTACAACAGGCACCAGGCTGGCGGGGCGAAAACGCGAATAATTCTATCCTCCGCGTTTTCACAGTGAAACATTTCTTAGTCACTGTATTTCGTGTTTGGTTCTATTAGTACCCCTTCGCTGTGTACGAGCGTGGACACGAGCTAGCTCGCGCAGAGTCAAGGCCAGACACGAGCCCGGTGCCCATTGGAGGGCGCCATGCTCTCGCTCGTATAAAGAAGCACCTGCAATTACGAGCCTGCCAAAGTCACCTTCACGCGCACTCTGCACGTAAAAGCACGCATATACTTTGAGACACACTTCTCAACGCTCTTGGACCCCATCTTTTGTGCCGCCGCGGCTCAGTCCGTCTGTGGTGGTGTGGTAGGCGTTCCCACCTGGGTTTCCAGCAGCTTGTCCACGTTGGGCTGGAGGTAGTACTTAACCCCCGTACCGGCGCCAGGAAGCAGTACCCCTCGGAGCAGGAGCAGGGTCAGAATGACGTAAGGAGCCGTCGCCGTCACCCACACCACCTGCGTAGGCGATCCAGAGGCGCTTTGGTTGCACCAAATACAGCGTCAATGCGCCCCCGTGGAAACATCGTATAAGGAAAACACCCGTGCGAGCTGCTCCCCTCCACACCGAGCAGAATGGGCAATCGCTGCAAGATGCATTTCGAGCCAAAAAGGTGATCTGCGCCGCTGCACTCACTAAGCCTGCCCTTACGGTCGTGCTTTTCACTATAATTGTCATAGTCGTTAGTCATTTTGTCCTACATTTCTAAGATTTTGCAAACGCTCAATCACTGTACCGGGTAGCAGGAATTCCACTTTCTCAGGCACATGCATTTTTAAAAGCTTAAGCATCTACGACGCTTTCACTCCCGATAAGCTTCTATTTTGCAAAATGTGCACGCGTATTGGCGCCTATCCACACAAAACCTCGTAGCTTTGTCCGATGGTTTGATGCCGTGTTTATGGTCCACGTTGTTGTTGTTTTTGTAACTAGTGTGTCCGGCGCGTAGCTGATTAAGAGAACATATCAATGACCTCGGTTTATTGCATCACCGTGGCTCGTATGTAAAACGAGAACAGTGCACTGCAGCCACACAAACGTGGGGTTTGTCTTTTCTTCCCAATAAATGGTTCAGTTTCCAAATTCACGGTTAGGGGGATGACTGGATTGCGTTCTCGAGACGGTCGAGTGCGAGTGAAATATTTCTCCCAGAGAAGCCTCCGGTTTGCGCGAGAGCACGCTCGTTTGAGGCCTAAATTTCATTCATCTGTTCCCAAACCGCGAATTCGGAAAAAAATCGTCCTTTGCGTAAGAGCGTCACACAATTCCGCTGGAAAACGTGTAACGAGACGAAGGTCCAACTGGGCACGGAGAGGAGCTCGGAGGAAGCTCACTTTGCCGGAGGAGCTGACACCTTTGAACAGCGCCAGGTAGAGGATGACGAAGACGAGCATGACGCAGAGGAGCAGCTGCCACTTGGGGACGCCCAGATCGTGCATGCCAGGACTCGTGTGCAGCTCCAACACCGCCCGACTGCGTGTCAACGCGGTATTAGTAGGGCGACTTTATCGCACTGCCCTAGCAGAAGCTAGAGGCATCCGCATTTGTTTTAATGTACACCATACCAAAAACTGTCCTCTGCACGACACCATATTACTCTCTGCTGGGCTGTGAAACGCATCCTGGGCATGCGCAGTAGATCTCTTTTGCGAAATATCAGATGCCGCGCATGCGTCCACAGAACGGTGACTCGACAATTTTCGCCTAGGGGATAAGCACTGGAAAGGTGTATAGTAGAGGCAGAATACCGTATCTCCGTGATAAACGTTCTTATAAGTTGTAAACGCAAAATGAAAATTGAAAGAAAAAATAAAGACGTGCGTGACCGATACAAAAGCGATTCGGCGGGTGAGGCGTCATTTGTCCTCTTTCCGTCGGTTTCCGCTGCCCGCGTCTTGACATTCGCACTACCATAGCCTCCTCTATACTCACAAAGCCTGGCAGTTCGACGACGAAGCCGAGTGCACGGTCGCAGATTTAGAGCGCGCGGATCTGGTAGCACAGAGCATCAAAGAGCCATTTTTCGGGGAACCTGGACGTCAGCGCACAGCTTATGCAGCGGCGAGGACCCGAAACACACTTGTTCTCTCGGGAGAAGTGTGTTTCGGCGTCTCGCCGCAGCGGGGCGCCAGCCACGTGGCTCTCCTCTCATTCGTTGTCTGCCGCTCCACCTTTTCCATATCGGCGATCGCTTCTCGTGGCAATCCGCCAGGCTTTGTCAGTATATAGGAGGCTTTGGCACTATACAAAAGGTTGTTTCTTTCCTGTTTCCTGACGATTCGTGGGTGTAAACATTCTGTGACACGGTGAATTGCACCGCAGCGCCAAGAGATGCGTTACGGGGGCCTTTTCGGGTGCCGCTGAGGCAATTTAGACAACGAGTGAGTGACGTGAGGCACGGTAGATAGCGAGAACTAGGGAATAATTTGCCTTCTGCAGTTGTGAGGGCCGGATGATTCACTCTGTCTCGATGCAACTGAAGCGTGAGGAAGCGGAGCAATGCACCCGTGTATGGCACTTGTACGGTCTGCGTTGTATACGTACCACGGATTACACTGCTACTGTCGCGTCACGTGAGACATCGGAGCTCCTAGATTTGTTTGGGCAGCGTTCATCACTTTTTTATTTATTTATTTATTTAGGAAAAGCAAACAAACGATTAGGTAAAGACTGCGTTTAAATATTGTCTCGCCGGCGTTCACAGCGTACATAAAAAAGCTCAAATAAAACATTCAGGCAAAAACTCCCCCTAGATTACCAACGCATGGCACGTGTACCCATGCCTCGAAGCACAAGCCCGCGTATTAATTTACTGACTCACTTATTGACTCGGTTATTTACTAACTTATTTCTTTTAATTTATTCCATTTTATTTAATTTATTCAAAAGTTATAGCAGCGATTTGCACTACGCGACACAGTTATATCTCAAACACAACATCGTCGTTTTTCGTGTGTTGCTTGCGCAGGGTATTAATTATCACCTTTTTTTTTTTTTTATTAGGCTGTTGATTATCCTCTTATGGTCACAGCTTTAAAAACGCAGAGAGCGGCGAATTCCGGGGTATCGTAATATTGCTCGGCAACCATTGAGATTGCGCCATGAGGCCGAATGACCGATCACGAAGTGAGAAGTCTGAACAAAATAAGCCATACCCTGTTTTTCTTATGCCCTCACTATTGACTATTCGCAACTCAAACGCTCCATAGATGGCAGGACGGTAGTCGCAATATGGCGGAGTAAGACGGGGATGGATTATCCAAGATTTTCCGTGCGCCTGCACGCCGACGCTGGTCAGTGTGCTAAAATGAATTAATTTGGCTACAAATACGAAGTGGTCAGGGCAGGAGCATATCACAGCTGACAGAGATCTTGACGTTCGTTGAGAAAATGAACGTGCTTGCTTTTAAAACCCGCGGAGTGGAACAAAACAATTCCTATATTAACGCACTCGCTTTTTTTTCGCTAAAACTGCGCGATGCACGAACAGGCCGACCAGAACCATGCGGTAACAGAAGCATCAAGGCCGACTGTCCCTGATACCGTCTCCGGCGCCGTTCCCGCTCCTCTGGTTCTTCATTCGTGCGCGAGAGAGTGTGCCACGGGCTGGAGTTGCGAATAGTAAGTTTGATGACAGCCGTTCGCTTGTAAAGTAAAAACAGGAGGAAATATCGGCGATTGCTTGTTCGTAGTAACTGTACATCACGAAGTGCCTTGCAGATTTTCGCACCCTCTCCCCTTTCCGGTTTTTTGATTTTAAGGAGCTTTCAACTTGTCATTTTATCGGCACCTCCCGAAAAAAAAGCAGCGAAGACGAGTCTGTGATCGGTCGTGTACACAACTGGATGCGAGTCCGCGATAGTGCCCATGGCAACCGCCGGTCTCGCGTCTTCGAGGTAGAAGGCCAATTTGGGGCGCTTTGCTTTGCCGTCTCAATTGTACGAGTCTCCTCTCTGCCAAAGCTTTTTTTTTTTTTTTTTTTCGACACTATGATGTCTGCAAGGAGAGGAAAGGTCAGGCGGAAGTGAGAGATAAAGCCGGAGCCGAGACACGTGGTTTCCGACGGCGACGGACTCTACTGTCAGTGGCCCTTTTTCCGGTTTCTGCGACCTGGCCTCCGATTTTGCTTTAGACGAGGCTCGGTTCTTCCGCTTGGCTTTGTCTTTATGGCAGAACCCTGTCTGTCAGGCATTTACGGCGGCTCTTGCACGTGCTTGAGGGACTGCTCACCGGGGTGTGTGTGTGTGTGCGTGTGTGCGTGCGCGTGTGTGTGTGTGTGTGTGTGTGTGTGTGTGCGCGCGCACACACACAGAGAAGCACGCGCGTAAATTCGAGCACCGGGGCGTTTCTTTATGTGCGTCTGTGTGCGTAAAAAAAAGCCCCCGGGGGGGGGGGGGGGGGGTCTTTCTATTTTTTGCGTCAAAATATGTGGGTTGCAATCACCCTTGGTTCGTCGATTAGGTCGCGTTGAAAGTTCGGTTGCATTTTCTCGGCTCCAATTGCTTTTCTATAGTCGCGTGTGTTTAGCCTTCCGCTCCCATGATGTTTCCGGCTCTACGCTTTTCTGCTGGCTGGCGGAGAGGTTTGGAGATCTTTCCTATCGTGGTTTTGTAGAATCACCTTTTTTTTTTTTTTATGTGCCTGACTCGACCTGTCATGGCCAAAAGAACACATCTATGACAAAACCAAGGTTCAAAAATTCTTCTTTTTCATGTTTCTTTTTTTTTTCTTCTTTTTTTTTTTTAAATCGGCGTTGAATGCTATTGGCACGGTTTCTTGAACGGACTTGTTTGTTGTCGTTCACTTTCACTAGAATACTTTTTTCTTCTGCCCTTTCAGAAAAAGGTGACGGACGGAAATTGTTTCCCTTCATTCGCTTTTTTTTTTCTTTTTTTTGTCACCGCCTTCGCATTTATTTCTTTTATAACTTTGTGTCGGCGGGGGAGAAGAGAGGGAACGTTCGGTCGTCGGCAACACCTGTAAGTGTCAGACGCTTCGGGACGACAGGGAAAGCTCTTCGACTCCCGAACAACTCCCGCGCTTCCTCACTCCTGACGTTGCTGGAAAGAGGACGCTTTCCCGTTTTGTTTCGACGCGTACTTAGAGCGGGATGCCATAAACCTGTGTCGTGGATGGAAGGCGGTTATAAGGTAAACCAATCAGGTGGTCTGATTGACTACTGAGTAAGGGTTCAGCCCTTTTCATTTTTTTTAATTACTCGCTTATCTTTTCTTAGGAATCGCTAAAAAAAAAAGACACTACTGCATTGAAGTGAACTCACCGCGCATCTCTGGTACGGTCTGTAACCTGTTCTTTCGTAATTCAATACAGAAAGAAGACAAACTAGGAAATGAAAGCAAACGTTAATGTCTGGCAGATTTGCAATCTTCCTGTCCGCTAGAAACCTTTGGTAATTCATTGAGCGGCACCCCCGTGTATATTTGGATTAGCACTGACGTATAAGTATCCGCTGACTAATTGACAGCGATGACCGCTTACGTATCGAGAGAGGGAGGGAGGGAGCGAAAAAGTTTAAGGTTTACATCCCTGTCCGGACGACCTGTCCGGTCCATGTATCGCGGATTTATTCCGCGATGGTACGTATGAAGACATTCTGCTTAAGTGATGCGTAATAAGCGTAATGAATTGCGTAATACGCAAAGCTAGAGTCAAACAAAAAGAAACCGAAACGTGATCAGTGATCTCGATACGAAATAGAGGACAGTTACGGGAAAGGCATGAGCAATAAATATTCCTCAAAGGTAGAAAGCGGGACATCCCAGCGGGGCCGGGGGGGGGGGGGGGGGGGGGGGGGGAGGGAGGGGGAGGGGGGGGGGGTGCTAAAGATTGAGATTGGGAGGAAAAATTTTAATGAAATACCTGCTCTTATTTTAAAACTTTACCATACTGGACTAAGCCCTAGGGCCTACGGAACAGTCACACTCACAGTTCATTTGCTTGTATACCTGTAACTATACTTGTAACGAGTAGGCATAGTTTCGGATTGCTTTAACTCGCTAGGTGCCAATTTCGAAGTTATACACTACTGCGAAAACGAGACATGATTTTTTTTTGGGACAAAAAGAAGCGGACCTCAAAAACGGGACGTCTGGTCACCCTAGCAATAAAGGCATGCGCATGAGCAGGCTGCCGGTCCACTGGTAGCCTGCACGTGCATCACCTTACTGAGCCTGCCAATATAATATCTGAACTTTACGGTTCGTGTGTGCGCTCTCATTGCAGAGTTCGAAGCCTAGGCAGTTAAAAAAAAAAAAAAAAAAAAGGTTACAGGAGGGCGCTTAAGCTTCGCCCATAAGAGTGGAACGCGATAGCTAAATATAAACACATACAAAACTTGAAAGTATAAAACAGATTTAGGACGAGAACGTTGAGACCCTTGGGGGGCGGTTTTATCGTTGTGCCATTCTATGTTGTTGCTAAATGAAAGATGTCCTGTTCCCGTCCTCGTCCTCTCTGTTTTATACTTTCAAGTTTTGTATCTATTAACCAACACGCTCGTTTTCAACTGTAACTAAATATAGACCCCCGCTCGTTTCCAAGACGTTCAAGTGTGTCTGCGTAACCTAGTCAAATAAACAAAAAAAAAATATGTGTGGACTAGTGGGTGGCATGTCTGACTCGTAGGTTCGATCCCGCCTCCACCGCCTAAAATTCTTCGAATTTCTTTTTGAGGCAAATGAATTACTTATGGACAAATCAGGATTTTCCCGTCCCGCCAACACAGACGCCGGCTTTTGAGCACGACGAGCCTCCTTGAAGATGTTGCTTTAAAAGTCGTTCGCGGTTAAAAAATGCATGTACACACAGAGCGCGAAAATGACAGGGGCGCTTTTTTTAAAAATTTTGGTCAAACATGGCATTCACAAGCAGCACATTTTATCACTTGGCTTAGTCCCTGGAATGAGCCATTTTCCCTGAGTCATTTTCCCTGAGTCACTGAGAAGGTGAAAATGGCAGGGCGTCTCTTTCGAAAGACTGGACTCGAGCACGCGCTGAATGCCTTTCCCCGTACTTTTTCTGTGCGCGGGCTCGAGTCCTTTAACGCCAAAGCGTTAGAGCACCCCGCTGTTCTCACATTGTCGGTGACTATAGTGGTCTTTATTAAAGCCTTTCTTCTCTAAAAAAATGCAAATTGGAGTTTGCTCGTTTATGGTAACTGCTCGCGCTCTGTACGTCGAAGAAATTCATCGTCAGCAGAACCTGCCATGGCGGACCATAGTTCCGAGCCGTGTGGCAAAGACGGAGGGTCCCCCAGTGTCGATAATAATACCCGGAGAAGAGGAACAAGGGGGACAAAGGGAAAACACAAATTTACAAACACAGTTATAGGTGACTGGTGCGCGACAGGAGCCATTCTGCGGATATTAGCCCTCACTTGAAAAACTCGAGAGCGGGGGAGGTGCGGTTTTCGATGGGCATCGAGTCATCCTGGACTGTGCCATTGTCGTCCAGGGTGCCGCTATAGCAGCTGGGCGTGTTCCAGGGATTGCCGCACCGGGCCCATGGCAGCTCGGCTCGGAAGGATGAGAACATGAAGTACAGCGCCCAGCCGATGATCACGTTGTAGTAGAAGGACACGTACCACGACACCAGCACCGAGCAGTAACCCACACCTGCAAGGAGAGCCCCACACAGCGCCAATGCAACACACGCCAGACACCAGGACGGAGAAGGTGTCTTCCGCGATGGACTGGAAGTCCGGGAAACGAAGTTGAATTCAAGAGTCCACTAGGTTTCCCGGGATTTGCGTTAAGCTTAAATCGCGGGTTTCCGAGATGATGAAGATAAGGCTCCTAAGGAACCATTGCAGACTTTAGATCCAGCATATACTGTGAAACTCTTAATTTTCGCGGCCCCTATTTTTCACGAATTGGTCGCAGAGGACATAATCGCGATAAATTTCGCGAATTCCAGACGTTTTCACTGAAACTATTAAGGATCGAAATTTTCACGTACCCTTAAATTTTGCGAATTTTTCAATTCGCGAAATTCACGAAAATTAAGGGCTCGCGAACGTTAAGGGTTTCACAGTAGTGCAACGAAAGCTACGAGTGCGTGATTATTTTCTTCTTTGGTGAGCCGCTCAGGTGCTGAGGTCATATCACCTGAGGAAGCTTCAACATCCTACAACCTTCGCTGCACTTGCGAACTATGCGCTCTTCATTGTAAAACGTTCGGCTACAAGTGCACGCTTTAGGGATCAACCTTTTTTTGCTCTTTTGAGAACGAGGATCTGAATTCGCCCAAACCTATACTGAAAGACTCAAGCATATATTACAGGTGTAATTTAAAAAAAAAAAATTAGACCATTAATAATAATGATTCCTCCGGCAAGCATAAAAAAAAAACAGGTGACCTTTTGCCAAGAGACTTCGATTTTTGAGGCCTATGACTCGAGGCGTCAGCTGCTGTTTGGAAGATGCCGTTGTAAAGTATTAACTTTCTCAACGGCTTCCTTGTTTATACCGTTTTGTATTACGAGCAGGGGAGCAGACCTGACCACAGCTGCAGCTTCTACGAAAACATTTTCAGATAAAATGAGAATCACCACATTAGAAACTGATAAGAGTAGTTCATTTCATCTGCCTTCAACATTCCCAGTCATGTCCCTAACACCGCGAGAAAAAAGAAAAAAAAAGTGCTCTGAATTAGCGCTATTTCCTGCTACAATCTGACAGTTAGGTGCAGTCAGCCTATACGAACTCGGCTGGCACAACTGAATGTCTCCCCTTCCCACTGCCAGCGGCAGTCTTGGAAGGGGTCCAGATCTGTCTTGCAGGTAAACCCTTCCGTCCGTCTCCAAAGTGACGTCAAAGGAACAAGAGTGACGTTCCACTCAGGATAATGGTAAGTGCATGACGCATACTTCGCCGTACGTCATCGAGCGTTTCACTTCGTCCGTGACAAAACGCGGAACTGTCGAAGTCGAATAGCGTTCTACGAGCTCCGCTTTTTTTCTGTCACAAAGAATCTCAACAGCGTCGTTGATTGCGCCAGAAAACTCTATCCTAGAATAAACCCGAGCCTTACTTGCCCACCCAATGCTTTCAACCTATGCTAGATGGCTGCTTATAAAACACTTTCTGCTGTAATATAATCAAGTTCTTCGGTGCAGAAAATGGCTATCTGTCCTGGGACATTAAACATTTCATATGTAAACTAGGCAAACGGTTTAGACGCGCGAAATCACAGGTGATAGCCTGGAAACTTATCTCAGCCTTGACATTCTATAGCCTTGCTTCGTGAAACATTATATGCAGCGCCCTGAATGGTCCACTGAAAAGTGAGGGCGGAGATTTTTTTTTTTTTCTATGTCCAAGCTTGGCGATGATTTTCGCCATGGGATTTCTAGAAGAAGAGCCGGCGGAGAGTTTTACTTGCCTTTAAAGAGTGGGCACAGCTTCCAGACACTGATGGGGCCCTGTCTGTTGTACTGGCCCAGCACCAGCTCCATGTAGAAGAGCGGCAAAGCTCCGAAAACAAGCATCAGTAGGTATGGTATCAGGAACACCCCTGCGAAACACCGAACGTGCTATGTTATTTGTAACTGAGTTCCACTAGGCGAAATTTCAGAATGCTTTACTTGTGCAAATGAACAGAAACATCTTACTGGCATCACTATTAAATAAAACCTGCGTCTGGCAGTAAAAAAGCATGTTTGCCAATACCGCCGAGGCGTGACCAGACCCCATCGATGTGTTTTTCACATGTCTGTGAACAAAGCTGGTTGATTGCTCACCTTGGCACAAGTGGGGCTCGTTTTTTGTCATATTTAGCTAACAAAGAAAAAAAAAGCGATTTAGTTAAATATGAAAGGCATCTGTTAAAATATCCCTCTGTAAAACTGGTAAGAGGACGTTGGTGCTACAAGGTATGCCGAGTTCTGTGAGAAATTACAAAGTATTCTCACTGTTCTGAAACCGGCTCGCATTGTTTAAAGGGCCCTCCCTATGGCCCACCTCTCATTTTCAGGCTCAATATTTCTAGACTAAACGATCATGTTATTCGAGAGTCATCTTCGCCAAAACCTTGGGAAAAAGCTCACCTCCACCATTCCGATAGCAGAGGTAAGGAAACCTCCAGACGTTAGCCAGGTCTACCGCGAACCCGATGATGGAGAGGAGGAAGTCTGCCTTGTTCTTCCACGTGGGGCGGTCTCCGGAGTCGTGAGGACCCGAAGGAACGACGGAGCCACCCTTGCAGTCCGCGGCCTTAGCGTCCACCACGATGGGGACCGTAGACGCCACCCCGTCAGCCAGGATCACTTCCGTTTGACCCTCGGTGCTGCCTAGGTGATCCACGTACTCTGTGCATAAGAGGTAGGAACCGTTGATGGCTGGAACCATCGGCCCCTTTTCCAAGCCGCCTAGTGTGGCTCCGAGGCAAAATGTCGGCCAACATACTATCCGCAGTTGACAGTTTCAGATCTCGGCCGAGGCTCCCAAACTCTGAGGAAGCCTGTTTGCGGTCGGCGTGTAAAGGTATGTCCTGGCAGGCAGACACGCGCGCCTCCGCTCTTCCTCGTGCATGCGTTTCGGGCGAAAGGAAATGACGTCTTTCAGACGGCTCTGGCCGCTTTTCAAAATGTTTTTCTGCACAGGACTTTAGGAAAATGGTGGGTGCAATCATAATTTTTTAACATTATGACTTCACCCACACTAAGTGAGGGAACTAGAGTGTTATTGTTAATAACAGCTGTAACAACTATTCTTCTTCGTCTTAAACTTTGGAAAGAAGCTGCCGATTGCGTGCCCGTCACACCTCTTCCCGACTCAATTAAATTTACCATATAGTCGCTGACAGTTGAAGAACTGCAGGACGTGGCTTATAGTCTTCGCGCCTCTTGCTTCGTGATTCGTGCTGGGGGGTTCTTATCAGCTAATACAGCAATCTTATTGGCTGCGGAGCGATAAAAAGACTCTGGAAGATCACCATGCCCTGCGTTTTTTAAGATGCCAGTGACTGTATTGCCAAATGGTTCCGGTGAAAGACATTCCTGACGAGGGACTGCCTTAAAGAGTTAAGGGTGGGCTCCGATACATGGCAGAGTGCACCTTACACGCCAACAGCGGCATATCGAACACATGTGATTAAACGCAAACGAGAAGGACGACTGTGTTGCATCGTCCTCAAATTTTCTCTAAATATGTGGCTGTAGGAAGACATTCTACCGCAACATTTAATCTGTCCCGTGCAGTAGACTAGTGGCCTCACCGGAAGAGAGGGGTGTGCTGGAAGAAGAACAATAGCCGTCGTCTCGTATGGCCGAATGCCTGAGTCTCTTGAGCTTGCTCTTCTCGAAGATGAGCGGACTCTCCTTGGACTGCGGCTGATGGACTAGGGGCCTGAAGGCAGGACCCCGCTTGTCGGAGTCCGGCAGGGGGCTCGATGTCTTGGAACCTCCTTCAAGGGACTCTTGGTATTCTTCGGTGACCGAACCGGCTGCCGGGATCAGGGGCTGACCGGCCGCCGAGTTCCTCTGCTCCTGTTGCTGCTGTAACTGCTCCGATTTGGGAACCAAACTAGAATTGTTGGTCGGCATCTTGAATGGACCAATGGCTTCGCTGTATTGAAGTAATCGAAGAATTCCCGACGTTGACACCGCCGGATGACCTTGCAAAGTTCAGTGTCTGCCTTTCTTCTGGCGCCTGTCAGAGATCGCTGATGACCTGATGGAGAATGACAGAGCGAGGGGAGTTAGGAAGTTACTACAAAAACAGAACCTACCATCGGGTTCGAATGAAATGCAAACACTGGAGCGCATGACCGTCGACACATGCTGCGCCTCCTGGAGGCCTCTGGAAACTGATAAAACTGCAGGGTGGAGAATAGGGTGCAGCTAGTGTGTGCGACCTACTCCGATATGTTTGAACTTCGGCCATCACAACCCAAGCTTCGAAGCTGCGTCGGTGTTCAGCTGGAAATTCCGTCACTGCTCATATTTCATTCGAACCCGATAGTACATGGTCTTTATTGTAAGCGTTCATTTCTGACGGTCTGTATGCGAGTGTGTGCTGAGGGAGAAGGAAGAGTAAGAAGTCAAGACAACATTCGCTGATGTTGTGAGTGGTATCAGAAACAAGTGAACCAGAGATGCGTTTTTGGGCTTCCATTTTATTAACGCAAGCTAACGGCGATAACAAACAATCTTCACGTTTACCGCGAACTCAAACGAGCTATAGACACGCGTACACGTCTTTAGCACGTGGCACGGATAAACGGCACAACGCCCAAGTACTCCTTGGAAGTATCGGCGCAATTCACGGACAAATAGACTAGTAGCCCCGTGTACGAAGGAAGTTTAGGTAATAGCAGAGACCGTAGTGGTCTTGGTGAGTTCTTGGACTTAGTAAAAGTGTGTTGAAGTGAAAATCAGTACATCGATTCTGTATCGACGATTAGATTTATGTTTCAATACTATTTTATAGCTCTACGAGCTTTCAGATAAAATAGGCTAATGAGAGACACTGCGTTTGTGCTGGCGTTTAGGAATTCTCTTCTTTTTTTAAACCCAATACCTCGCGTAGTTAACGTCTAGTAACTTGGTCCATCTCGGCTAGTTTTCTGATGATCCGGTCCCTCATTCCGAAACCGATATAGATACGAAGAAAAAAAAAAACGCTAACGGCGCGTTGAAAAGTGACAGTTATGCGCGCAGTTAAAGACAAATTAACGTTTAAAAATGTTTGTTTATTTTTTTTTTTCAGTGTCTGTTCGCGAAGGATGTCTTTCGCGGTGATAAATGTCTGTCTCGCGCCATTTACAAGTCTCGCCTCGCTGGTCGTAAAACGTAAAGCGCTCGGAACAATACCAAGCACGCAGGAAAAAAATAATAATTCTTTATTAAAGGCGTTGGGACGAAATACTAAAACACGGGTATAGTAAAAAAAGAAAGAAAAAGACACAATCAAAAACCCGGTCACGCTTTGAGCGGAGAAGACATTTTTTCCCGGGGGGGGGGGGGGGGGGGGGGATTAAGAATCGATTGAGTCGTTCCCCTTAATCGTCGCGGCGGATAATGATCCTAGATCGGCGTTCCACCTTGGAGCGTCTCCTGGCCAGTTTTGCGCTTTTAATCAGGCGGCGATGGCGGTTCCCCTCGTCCCTTTTCAACCTGGCCGGGGTTGGGGCCTCGTCCAGCCAGGGACCGCGTCCTTCGACGTTCCCCCACCGAGAGCGCCACCGTCGGAGGTCTCCCCATCGCGCGCCAACTGGTACAGGTAGAGAGTTGAACGTTTTCTGGTTTCATTGATTAAGCCCAGATCGTGAACGCAAATATCGAGCTTTTTTTTTACATTTTGTTTCTTTTTTTGGGAAATGGGGAAAATATCGGTCTTACATGAACTGATTTCGACTTTAGGGACTTGGGAACACCTGAGAAATAAAGAAGCCGTCGATACAAGGTTCAGTCGGAAGATAACTATGATAAAGTCACGTTTCTTCTATATTGTCAAAACACGATACTGAGGTAAATAAACACGCGCACACGCACACACACACGCACGCACACATACACGCACACACACGCACACACACACACACACACAGGTTTATTTTGGTTGTGCTGTCTATTTGTTTCCCAATTCGGTCTCGGGTTTCTGGAAAGGGCCGTCTGCCCGCGCTCGCCGGTCTTTTCTGTAATTTCTCTCCCCTTGTTTGTTCGTTGTTTTAAAATTGTGTTTGGATTTTGAGTGTTGTTGATGTTGTTGTTGTTGTTGTTGTTTTCTGCCGCAGTTTATTTTTTTTAAGTATCTTCAGCAATGTTTACCTTCATTGCTTTGTATTTCAAATTAAACATATAGCTACTCGTTCTTGATTCGTAACCATGCCTTTTTTCTTATCTTGCGAAATACGGTTTAGCTGGGATTCCGTTATCTGTTTTCGGGGTGCATTCCCTACCGCGAGTTCTCATCAAAATAAAACAGATGCATCTTGCGCGGCGACACTCCTGTACCTCTATTGTCACCTCACACACACCTTGTGAGATTGAATGTTTATGTGAAACATTTCTTCGAGATGTAAGTGGCACGGTAGTGAGCGAACGACTAAAAAAATGCGCAACCGGTCGCGTTAAATTCAATATTTCACTCGAGCTTACATGAAACCGCTTCTTTCACACATCCCATAAAGTTTAAAATGTAAAAAAAATCCTGTACTTTAGATGTTGAAAAAGTGAAAAAGACAAAAAAAAAATATGTCAAATACACGAAAGCCTTTTTTCTTTTTTTTCAGACATCCAATACATTTCCAGAGTTGAGCAAATATTCCTCTCGGAAGTTTATCGGAAGTTAATATTTATTGAGTGTGCCTTGTTGGTTGTTTTTTACTATTTTTTTTTTATCCGAGTGAAGCAATTTTTATTCGTCTCACGGAAAGAAACACTGACTCAGAGTTCGTAAAATATAATAGAAAGGTGATCGTGCGGTTTGTGTCAACTACGCTTCGTGGCGTTTGAGCTAATGCCAAGCGCCAGTAGCATGCACTATACTTAATATGCAAAAAACTAATAATATTACATGCTCTGCAAGGTCTAAGACAAAACAATGGTGTTTCGCATTATAGGCCGACTGCTAGGGAAAGGGCATCGCCACGCCGTCAGGCCGCACGATGGTTTAGGATTGCAGCGGACACATTAACTACTGCGTTTGCAAGTAAGCATTGGTCACGGTAAACATTATCTTCCGCAGGATATCCAATTTTTATCTAAACATCAGCATTTTATTGTTATGGTGTCATCCACGAGAGGACAAAAAAAAAAGAAAAGAAACAGGAAACCTCGAATCATGTTTTCTTTTTTTTTTTTTAATTACCCGAGACTGTGGTAAAAGATGGAAAACTTGGTAGAAGAAAAGTGCAACAAAACCTCCATCTCTGATTATTGAGCAGTTGAAAACTGGATTTCAGGAACGCGTCGTGAATAATTCACGAGTCAGTTGTTTCTAACGACGTGGGAATAAATCGCCCTCTTCTGGAAATGGGGGCCTCGACTGGAGAGCCAGGCTTCTTGGGACGCTGCGTTGCCTTGGGGATTCGAACCAACTCGGATAAAACAAATGAGTCATCGCTTACCACTTGCTCGGCGTGCCAGACAGAGTGCAACAGTGCAATTAGCTTGCGTGGCGGTGTATTGGATCTCCAATTAACAATGTTTGCGGTGCCTATACTTCATTCAAAATTAAGCTGCGATTGAGAAGCGCGAGCTAGCCCGCGCTCCTGGTTTCGAGACGTGCATTTCTAGCGCGAGTGTTCGTTCTGCGGAAGAACGCTTCAAAGCAGCGACCTCGAGCTCTCGTGCTTGTGGCGTTGGCTGCAGTCGTAACTTAATGGGTGAGCGGAGTATAGATTTTCTTTTAAGGATGAAACGCAGTTAAAGCTTGTAGGCTATCTGCAGGGCGGCCCTACACCATCAAGCGCCCTGGGCGAAATTGGCGAAATCCAACCGTAGCCCCCCCCCCCCCCCCCCCCCCCTATTTTTTTATACGCTCCTGTCTTTTAGGTACGACATCACGTTGCTAGGAAACATGTGAGTAGTAGCCCAACACGAGCGTTTTGTCAGTCGAGAACCGCATTCTAAAAACGACTCGAACGAAGAAAGTCGGGACGGGGACGAGGGGGGGGGGGGGGGGGGGGGGGGGAGGGGGGGGGGGGAGGGGGAGATGTTAACGTTTTGATGAGTTGTCACAAAATGATGATGATGATAACATGATAGCAGACACTCTCCGTGGGCCAAATTTCACCAATTCGGGACGTAATACTGTCTCAAATAGGCCGTCGGGACTCGGGACTCTCTCTGAAAACTAGAAACAGTCCCGCAAAATCCGGGACAGTTGGGAACCCTATACCCGTTTTCACGTCAAGAAAGAACGCAAGTTTTGCACATTGTTCATACGCGGCGCGAAGTAGTCCTTACAAAATTGTGATCTCTGAAAAAAAAAAAAAAAAAAAAAAGAAAAGCGATGCTTTTGGCGCTTGAAAAGTGTACGTCTTGATTAGATAACATATATCTCAGTGGTTCTCAACCACCGATGTTTCGCGGACCCCTTGTGGATCGGCGGAGATAATGGAGGACCCCGTTCGGGGTAGGGGAGGGGGAAGGTATAGGCTAACTATAATCATAATTGAATAAAAAGATTTCAGTAAGGGCTAGTATAAAGTAGACCTTTCTTATTGACATGAACGCGAGGAAACTCGCCCAAAAACCTAAACATTTCTTCTCGACCTGGAAAAAAAACTTTTATTGCCGGGCTTGACTGAAGAACGCGGACCCCTAGAATGCCTTCGCGGACCCCGAAGGGTCCGCGGACCCCCATTTGAGAACCACTGATATATCTAATCTAAAATTGACCTGCGTATATCTTAATTATCAACATAAAGGGGGAAAATAGTAATGCTCTGTGAGGTGCCGTAGCTTTTTTACTACGGTTCTTGAGGTGAAGACGGGTATAGTCGTGGATCAAAAGCCGCGTTCAAATAATAAAAAAAAAGCTAAAAAAGTTTAAGAGGGGGCGCCGTGGCGCCCCCCTTTTAATGGCGCCCTGGGCA